TCTTCACCTCCAGCACATCCCTAAATTTTCTGTCTCAGTGCGTTATAACACAGACTGTTCTGGATGACATCAGTTGCCTGTTCGTGAAACTGAACCCATTCTCCCTCCTTTCAGATGCAGATCACTGTATTGCCTGCCCAGCAGATCAGAAGTCAAACTCTGACCGGGATCATTGTGTCCCCAAGTCTCTGAGCTTCCTGTCCTATGCAGAACCTCTGGGAATCACCCTGGCTTCCCTTGCCTTCTTCTGCTCCTTCACCACCAGCTGTGTCTTAGGAATCTTCATAAAATATTTGGATACCCCATTAGTCAAAGCTAACAACTGGGACCTTTCCTTCATTCTGCTTGTCTTCCTCCTGTTTTCTTTTTTATCCACATTCTTGTTCATTGGCCAACCAAGGAAAGTGACTTGCCTGCTCCGACAAACCGCTTTCAGCATCATCTTCTCAGTTGCTGTCTCTTCTGTGCTGGCCAAAACCATCACTGTGGTGCTGGCCTTCCTGGCTACCAAGCCAGGGAACAAGGTGAGAAGGTGGCTGGGAAAGAGCTTGAGCAATGCCACAGTCATCTCATGTTCGACTGTCCAACTGGCCATCTGCTCCACCTGGTTGGGCATGGCTCCCCCTTTCCCAGACTCTGACATGCACTCCCAGGATGATCACATTATCCTACAATGCAATGAAGGGTCTGTCGCAATGTTCTACACTGCCCTGGGCTACATGGGCTTCCTGGCTGCCATCTGCTTCATGGTGGCCTTCCTAGCCAGGAAGCTCCCTGGGGCCTTCAATGAAGCGAAACTGATCACCTTCAGCATGCTGGTCTTTTGCAGCGTCTGGGTGTCCTTTGTGCCCTCCTACCTGAGCACCAAGGGGAAGTACATGGTGGCTGTACAGGTCTTCTCCATCTTGGCCTCCAGTGCTGGGTTGCTGTGCTGCATCTTTCTTCCCAAGTGCTACATCATTGTCCTAAGGCCTCAGCTGAATGCAAAGGAGCACCTCATAATGAAAGCACATGGTGGTATCTGATGCTAAGTGAGAGGGATCCTTGAGAGCTATCTCTCATGGGAAAATCAGCAAGAAGTTGAATTTCTCGCATCCCTCTCAAGAGAGGAGTCCATATCCAAGGTAAAGCCCAGCTTGAAGGGAAAGTACAATCTATGCTTTGTACCTTACTGGGAAAAATCAACCTGCAACCTTACTCTTACTCTTGTTCCTCTTCGAGCTTTGATATTGTATTTAATTGTAGTTTATGAATTGGTTTGCACCAAAAAAGTAGATCCAATAAAGTTTTAGATACAAGATGGCTTCCTTTGGTTGATGGAATTATTGGGAAAATACTGCTTAGAAATTGGGCCATGAGCTCGTACAAGGGAGATGCAAGCAGATTATATGAAATGCAAAAAAGAAAACCAATAAACCATTTTAAGACCTAGTGATTAAAACATGTCGTGAGGCCGGAACACTCTTTCTAATTACTCACACAGGTACAGGCAATAAAGGTTTACAGCCTTATATTCTAAACACTTCAAAGATAGCAGCTAGCGAATAATACAGGAACCATTAATGCTAGTTCTAAGCAACACAGTTGCCCCCTTCTTTGTGGCCTATCTGATGTAATCCGCTCAATATTTAAACAACCCACAAGTTCACGAGCAATAAAATGAAAGTCTTTTATTGCTACTCATCTACAAGATTTACAACACTACAGATAAGCTCCACTGTTAAGGCCTTTTCAAGGCAGATGCTAACTCCCTAGTGACGTCTCTCAGGGAGCCTATGTAAGACTAGCTATTGTGGTCCCACCTTTCCCGTCTGAGGTGTGACAAAGCAGTCTTTTGCTCCAACCTGCATAAAGGACATCTAAAAACCGTGCTGGAAAGATCTGCTCTGCCCCCTGTGTCTCCTGTGTCATGCTCAGGAGGTTCAGTATCAGGAGGAAGGGGGGCAGTCTGCTCAGGCTCTTCATGAGTGGAACTCAGTGTCTTTTCTCTCAGAGCTCCCTTGGTCTGACGTAGGTTCGGCTGTTTGCTCAATGGGTAATGGGTCAGGATGAGGTATGGCTATCTGGCCATTCCCAAGCTAGGTTGTGGGAGGGACATTTGGCTACAGAGTCTCAAGCATAAATCCACCTCGCGAGGTGCTGCCTCTGTCGGGGCATCAGGCACAACACTATCTCAGATTTATTACACACTTTTCACCCTATGGGAATGCACCTCCCCATGGGGGCTAGATAAACTCCTCTCCCTCCTACTTTGATTTTGTCTCTTTTCTAAGTGGCTCAAGCCCTGAAGTCTTCTCCTCAGCTGGGCATTCTCCATGGCAATGGACTGACCCATGGCCTACATACTTGTGTTATCTTGAAGAATGCAGCTCTCTCAAGGGAGGCTTGAGAAAAACTTCATCAGAGTCAGGTGTTGGTGGGGGGTGTTTCTGCCATGGGCACCAAGTAGAAATCTTCTTGCTCTAAAGGCTGACTCTTTTTGGGAGCTTCTTGCTCTCTTACATGTGCTAACGACTTCTCTGAGTCGTTAGGCATGACAAAACATCAAGTCCAACAATAAAGATTTCTTTAAATAAATCTGATGAAAAAAATGGTTTAAGAAGCAGTTGGACCACTGGATGATCCTGGAGTTAAAGAAGCACAGGAGGAGGGTATTGAAAGTACAGAAGAGCCCAGTGTTTACAAAGGATTATGGGAAACTGCAGGCTGGTTGGCTTTATGTCTCCTCTGGTGGAAGGGTTTAGGTATTATTTAGTGTGAATTTGAAAATATACAGGAGGAAAGAAGGGCAAGCCCTGCTGAAACAGAATGTATGTGGCTTCCACAAAGGACAGAAAGCCAAGAGGAGGGTGTACATAACTTGGGTGGAGGCCATGTTGGTTGTACACCCTAAACCGGATGTGAGGAGAATGTTTAGAGAATGTGGGAAATCCAAACAGATGTCTCCAAAGTATGATGATGGGTTTCAGATGTTCAAATGTTGTCCATAAGCATGTTGGAGAGAAATTCCCAACCGCAGGTAAATTCTGATAGGATCTGCATTCACGGTAGCTGAATGAGAAGGAGACCTTGGGGTAGTGGTGGACCGCTCTACGAAAATTTTCAGCTGCTGTGAAGAAGGCAAACTCCATGTTAGGCCTATTTAGGAATAGGATAGAAAACAGAACTTCCCTTCTAAAAATATCTAGTGCAACCAGTCTTGGAATGTTGTGTCCATTTCTGGGCACACTACCTTAAAAAGGATGTTATTGAGTTGGAGAAGGTAGAGAGGAGAGCAGCAAAATTACCAGGGGACTGCAGCAGGTCCCCTGTGAGGAGTGGCTACAAAAATTGGGTCAGTTCAGCATATAAAAAAACAAGTTAAGGGGAGACGTGATGAACCTGGGGTAATCTGATAAAGCTGATTTGTGGGAGGTTCGCGGAAGAGAAAAGGAAGGGTTTCTTTAGAAAACACACACATACACACACATAAACTATCAAATGCATAGCCATCAAAAGTGGTGATGCCTGCCAATCTTGATCACTTTAAAAGGGGATTGGACAGATTTGTAAGGAAAGAGACCATTTATGTCGACTAGGTTGCTGGCCATGTGCTACCTCCTTCAGAAGAGGCAGCTTTCCTGCACACACCAGTGGCTGAGCAGCTTGGGCTGGAGGATGTCATGCACCTGTGCTGCTACCAGGATTCTGTGGGCAGCTGTTTTGCCATTGTGTGTGTGGAGTGCTGGACTGCCTGGACCTCTGGTCTGCTCCAGCAGGGCTTTTCTTAGGTTCTGATGTTCTTTTGACCAACACATTCCTGTTTCTTTGGCAATAATCACCTGGAACAAGTAGGCAGTGGTGAAGTGGCCAGGGCTGGTCATGAAACCAAACCATTTAGGGTGGATGGAAGTTAAATGGAGTGTGAGGAGACCCTCAAACATTTCTTCAAACTGAGAAAGTGACATCAAGATGGGACAGGCGGCTCCATGTCAGTGAGTGAAAAGTGGTGCATGTTAGGCCAAAGAGTCCCAATGTGCAGTTGAAGATGTTGGGATCTGAGCTGGCAGTGCCTGAGCATGAGAGGGTTGTCCAGGTTCTGGTGGAAGGAGCAGCAGAAGTGCCTGTCTTGTACACAGCAGTGGTGAAAAGGGCAAGTTCTGTGCTGGGCAAGATTAGGAAAGGAACTGAAATTTGATCTCCCAAGATTGTTCTTCCCATGCAGGAATCTATGATGTGATCATGGAAGAGGGGTAGCAAAAATGATTAGTGGGTGGAGGAGCTCCCCCATGAGGAGTGGCTACAAGACCTGGGACTCTTTTGCTTGGAGAAAAGGCAAGCGAGGGTGGACATGAGAGAGGTATCCAAAGCTATGCATGAAGCGTGGAAAGTGGAAGGGGAGGAATTCTTCCTCTTCTCCCATAAATCTAGAAGACGGGTCAACGACATAGAGAAGTCAACACTTAGAGCTGAAAGGTAAGAAATTGAAAGTTTCACCTGCCCTTCAGGGCAGTAGCATCTTCTGGATTTGGTACCCTCATGTGCCATCACACTCTGAATGGACTTCTCAGTGATGTGCATCACTTCAGGTGCATCATGAAAATATTCCTGGCTCCTGGTTCTCTGGAACATGCTTTGTTCTTCAGGGCCAAGACACGTTCTCCTTTCCACATTAGTGAACCCACCCTAGACTCCACACTTAATTTGGTCAGCTCTCACAAACATGTGTTCCTCCTACACTGCAGCTGGGACTCAGACCATTCAGAGAGTCCACCAAGCAGCAGAGGTGCTGGTCCTTCATCATATCATTATCTAGACATGGAGGATGCCCAAAAGAATAATCCACATTCTAGTGATTTCCATTTTGTTCTCAACAACATTATTTTCATGTCCTAGGAGATGGCCTTGGGGACCAATACACTAGGGGTTGGTCTTGAGGGGAAAAAGCGGGAAGTTCTTGCATGGTGCCTGAAAGGTTAGGCCAATAAAATATCTCCTGAGTTGAGGGACAGGAAGCAGCCATGCCCAGGATGATCCCTCTCCTGCTGCTGCTGCGCCTGCCCTGTTCAGCCTGTGAGATGCAGAAGGCAAAAGGCCCCCTGAATCTGGTCCGAGATCAAAGCAATGCAGAAAACTATCACAGGCCAGGGGACCAGATCATCAGCGCGATCCTTTCTACCAAATATACTGTACGTGAAGAGCCCTACATCTTTTCTAAGCCTCCCCTGACCATAATTGACAGGTAAGTGCTGATTACTTGGAAGAGTAAATGTTTTCCCAAATTCCATTCAATTGGCATTCTCTGCAAAGGGCTGCCCCTATCTTCTGCTATCCCTGGTCATGCAAACCACACTGGGTCATTCTCATGGATGCTTTCCAGTGAGGCTTTTAGTATGAAAAAGAGTGAACCTGTCCATCTTTTGAGATCAATCCTTTTCTCCGTCTTTCTTGAATAATCACCTGCTTTCACAAAAGCAGAGAACGGAATCCAGCATATGAACATCCCTGGCCTATAACTGAGGCCACCTCCTTCTACATCTGGCCAACAGGCAAAACTCTTCTCTGTCTAAACCCTTCATTTGGTGAACCAAGCATCCCTCAATTGTTCATGCCAATTTTAGATCACAAATTCTTTTCCTCAGGCAGGTTTTACAGAAAGCATGTGGTGGAGCAGGGGAAGAAATGCGCCAAATGGGGAGGATGCAAAAGTTCTCTAAGTGACCATCAGAAAGAGGGAAGGTCAATAAGCATTCAGTTAAAATCCTCAAATGGGATGGGAGGAGCTTGGTTTCACCTGTAGCTGTCCCCGGGACTGCTGGGGACATGTACCATACCTGGAAGACATTTTTGTTGAAATAGGGACTAGACTCTGCTGTTGCTTGATTGATTCACCAACCTGAAGTTTGTGTTGTTGCATTTTGGCCTTTTCTCTACTTTTCAGTTGCTTCCAGATAATGATGGCTTGTAGCTTTTACACTTTCTTGCATTTTCTGAGCTGATTGACTAGTTTTGTTTTTTTGACAAACCTAGTTGTCTTCTGCAAATAATTAATAATTGTATGGCTCCCACTCTCCTCCCACCCAATAATGGGCAATGCATTATGGGCTGGACCTCAACAGTTGAGAAATCTCTATAGTCTGGAACAAGTGGAGGAAGACACTGCCACACATTTTTCTTCTTCCCGTGCACCAGGCCAGGTGTTGGTACAGGTTGTCCTTCCTCCCTGCTTTCCAGAAGTGCAAAATGAATGCCAGGTTCCCCATTCCTTCCTGGAAGGAAAGGGAGAATGTCATTGTTTCTCACTTCCCCTTTTTCAGAAAAATGGTTCAGAGGTATGTCCGGTACTGGCACATTTTGTCTTTCCTCCTTGCTGTTTGGGAGGTCAATCAGAGTCCCAAGATCCTGCCCAACCTCACCCTGGGCTACAACATCTATGAGACCCACTTCCATGGGAGAATTACATCTGATGCCATGGTGGATCTGATTGCTGGAGGGGGAAGCAATATTCCCAACTACAGCTGTGGAGAGAGGAAGACCCCACTGGCCATTGTGGAAGGGGCTGAATCTGACATCTCAATGCACATTTCAGCCATGTCGGGCATCTACAAAATCCCGCAGGTAGGAACTGGGAAAGGAACTGGGAAATGAGTTTAGGGGGCTTCCACCTCGTACTTTTTGAACCCAGAAAAGGCATCTAAACATAAGATAGCCCACTTTAAGAACATCTGGAAAGTCTGACTTCCTCTATCCTACAGTTTGATTCCTTTTGCCCTACTGGCCAGATGGGGGAGAGAAGCCATGGTTGTGACACAGTGCGTAATTCCAATCGGTTTCCCCCCATATAGAACTCATAGAGCTTCAGGTGGTGTCCAAGACAATGCTGCACAGCTCGCCAGTTTACCAGTGGTCTCAGAGTGCAAGATGGGAGAAGCAGCAGAGCAGAAAACAGCAGTTGCAGGTAATGCAGAAAAAAGCTCATTGCTGCTTCTCACTGAAAGTAATGCCCACGCACACCAAAAAGGGCACCGGTAGCAAAAGGGTCTAAAAATACCCAGGGACACAATGTAGGAACTGATTTCCTTAACCCACCTCTAGTAATTTTCCCAAATGAATCAGCAAAATCTCTTTTTGCTGTGTGATATTCACTCCTTATTGGATTTTTTTTAATGTCTGCAAGGCAACTTTCAACCCTTTCTTTTGACGAACTAATCAGATACATAAATGAATCTGAGATGTTTTCCCCAGTGATATGGATTGACTGGGACTGCATGGTACTTCTTTCAGCAAGGCCACATAAAGCTGTCATACCACTAGGAATTCTTGAGAGATTATCTCCACCCTGATGGATCCCAGAGGCATATACTGGTAGAATTTCTGTTAGATGTTCATGATGTAAAATTAATAGAGATCTGATTATTCCACCAAAGATCAAAATGGCTTTCTCTTCCTGTTCTGCCTAGATGAGTTATGGCTTTGTTGATCAAGTTCTTCAGGATAAATCTCAGTTCCCTTTTATCTACCGCATGGTCCCAAAAGAGGAAACCCAGGTTGTGGGAATGGTCAAACTGCTCCAGCATTTTGGATGGACATGGATTGGTCTCCTTGCTCCAAGTAATGACAATGGAGAAAGGTTCTTGAGAACATTGACATCTCTGCTGACCACAAGCAGAATTTGTGTGGCTTTTGCAAAAAGGCTTTCTGTGGGGATGCGATATTTGGACATGATCAAAAGAGAACGGCTTGCTGTCTGGAGGCAAGTTAATGTATGTGTTTATGTATGGGACTCAAGCTATGGATTTAATCTATTCATCATAACACAGGCAAGGTTGGAAGAGGACAAAATTGGGATGAAAGTGTGGATCACAACATCTTTTCAGGACATTTTCTTGAATGCGTTTACTCATCCAGAATCCTTCCACTACTTCCATGGCTCTCTTTCCTTTGTGGTGCAGAGCAAAAGAAAGACAGAGTATGACCACTTTGGGCCAGTGTCACCAGATATGACACAATTTTGGATGACAGCATTTCATTGCTTCTATTCCAAGCATGACTTATCTGTGAAAGGCTGGACAAGATGCAGAGAGAAGGAGAACCTGGGCATGCTGTCCCAGGAGGAGATTGAGAGGACCCTGTCTCAGGACAGCTACAGTATTTACTAGTGTCCAAGTTGTGGCTCATGCCTTAAATGGTGCATACTCATCCCAATCCAAGCAGCTCTTGAGGGTGCATGGAAGGGATAGGCTGAAAGGACAGAGCCTGCAGCCATGGAAGGTATTCCCTTTATGTTTTGCAATGCCAGTCCAAATTGCCATCCACTGACCCACTGGAACATGATCTTGTATCAAGACTCCATTGTAATAGAAAGGGAAAAGGCTGACACAGCCTGTTTGTGAGCCAAATTCAGTTCGGCATTTGTCCTCTTTTTCCAGAAAGCAGTCCTTATTTCAAGCGATGCAAGAGCAGTATTTGGAAGCTGGTCCTCTTGGGGTGATCAAATACCTGTCATTATTGCTAAAGCTGGGCTGCGAGGCATCATGGCATTTGCAGCAAAGGGAACCTAACCAGGAGCTTGTCACCTTTGTTCAGATATCTTGCTTAGAGTTGCAAGCGGCTGGTTTTGTGCACCATCCACTGCTGTTTCATTACTGACTGGGAACATGTGAGCTTTGTAAGCTGATCAACAAGAAAACTTCTTGCAGGCAATCCTAGCACTGGCATATTGTTTCCTCTGGGTCCCCAAAACCTTGAGCCCACTGACAGGCACAATATAACAGACATTAGGAGATTGCCAGACTAATTGATCTCATATTTTGATAGGGAATCCTCCCTTGTAGACTTTGCGAATACTGTTGGTTCCACAGTTGGCCACAGAATCTGACTCAAAGAGTGCTCATTAGTGGTACCTTCTCAAACTGGGGAGAACTGACAAGTGGGATACCACAAAGTTCATTTCTGGGTCACTAATTTTCAACATTTCTATTAATGATTGGTATGAAGAACTGCAGGGAATGATGATGGAATTTACAGATGATGCAAAACAAGGGGGGTACCTCATACCCTTGAAGACAGACACTAGGATCATGGTGATCTTGATAGGCTGGAGCTCTGGGCAGATATCAAAAGGATGTAGTCGAAGAGGGAGAAATGCCAAGCTCTGCACCTAGGAAAAAGTAACAAAAGGCACAGTTCTGAGAGGAGAGACACTTGGCTCAACAATACTGCAAGTGAGAAAGATTATGGAATTGTTGAGGAACACAAGGTGGTTATGAGTTAACAGGTGGTGTGGCTGAAAAAAGGGCAAATGCTACTTTGGGCTGCATTAATGAAGCATCACTTCCAAATCATGACAGATCCTGGCCATCCTCTTTATGATAGCCTTCCAAGTTCCAGAATTGAGCTGTCATAGCTCTCCTCAATTTTTCTTCTCAAGACTCAACATGCCCAGCAACTGTGACCTCACCTCATAGGGCTTTGCTTCCAGGCCCTGGTCATCTTTGTTGCTCCCCTCTGAATGTTTTAGCTTATCTGCATCTTCCTTGAAGTGTGGTGCCAAGAAATGGACACAGAACTTAAGATGGGACCCAGCTTGTGCTGAATAGAAGGGAACAAGTATCTCATGTTACACGGAATACTCATTGGGCTTCTATTACTGCAGTCCAATATATCATGAGCTTTTTTTTTTACAGCCACATCACATTGCCGACTCATATTCAGCCTATGATCTGTGACAATTCCAAGATCCCTCTCACCTGTGGTATTGTTGAGCCAAGTCATTCCCATCTTGGAATGACTCACTTGGTTTGTTTTTCCTACATGCAGAACGTGGCATTTGACCCATTCCTTTTCATTCTTCCTGGCTTTGAGGGGAGGATGACATAGCCTGAGGGCATCCCAAAGTGATGGAACAGAAACTGGAGAGCAGAGAACATATCTCACGTGCCACCATGTAAAAATCAGATGCATGAGACACAGAGAAAACTGAGTGGAGCTGAGGAATCGCTAATGCTTTCCTCTCCTTAAAATGTAGGCTTTCTGCTCTTGCATTCTAGTTTCACAAACTCCTGAGAGAAGTCCAGTTTGCTAATTCTTCCCAGAATGGGCTCTACTTGTATGAGGAAGGGGAACTGACAGTCAACTATGACATCAGGAACTGGATCTTCTTTTCAAATAAGTCCTATCTTAGAGTGACTATCGGGAGCCTGGTGGGACAGTCAGCCCAGGATGTGATGCTTGCTGTGGATCATGAGGCCATTGTGTGGCCCAGGCAGTTTAAACAGGTCAAGGAAAGGATTTTTCTCATTTCTTTGTCTCTCACATCCATCAAACTGTGAAAACAGGATAAATGGTAGACATGCAAATTCGGTTGCCCTTCGATGTAGGCTTCCTGGAAAGGCGGTCCCAGGAATATTATTTGGCTTGCTGTGGAGTAAGGGCTATGGGATCACATTCTCGCCTCCCCCTCTCTAACCTTTAGATGGAATGGAGAGCAGGAATTCCAACAGCCCCACCAATGGCCAAGAAACACTGGAAGGCCCACCATGAGTGGCCACAATGCTGCCTGCATCTCAAACATCAGTCTTGAATGTACATTTTGAATAAACAGACTGGGCGTTTGAAAATTTTGGGTTCCTTTCATCTCTCCCTCCCATCCATGTCAGCTTGCACTGTTCAGTCTAGTTACACGAGTTGTCAGAAGTGTGTCCTTGAAAGATGGGCCTGCCAGGGGTGAAATCCCATTGAATTTTCTCCAAAAGGAGGTGTTTCCTTTCCAGAGTTGCACAGACTTGCCTTGCTAGAGACATCCAAAAGTGTCTGGGCAGTCATCTGAATGGGATGGTAGAGTTGAGTGTCCTGTAAAAGCAGGGAGTTGGACCTGAAGACCTTCTGGCCCCTTCCAGCTTCTGTAATACCAAGACTGACTGCATCTTCCCTGATGATCAGCCTCTTTGTTTGCAGACAGTGCCTCAATCCAGGTGTGTTGAGAGCTGTCGGCCTGGATATGCCAAGGAGGTTCTGGAAGGGAAGCCGCCCTGCTGCTACGCTTGTGCTTGGTGTCCTGAAGGGACCGTCTCTGCTCAGGAGGGTAGGTGACTTCAGAGCAAGAACCCATCTTTGAGGTCATGCCCAAAGAAGGGATTATGTCTTCTTGATCTCTCTTTGGAAGAAGCAGATCTGGCCTGGTTCTACCTCCCGACTGATGGAATGTCCATGAAAGAATTTCTCACCCTAGCTGACCCCATTCTCCAGCTGTTTTGTTGGATCACCAGTGGCTATATAGGGAAAGGCAATGCTACCCCAAAGATCAGCCATATAGATTTAGACGGAGAGTATATTCATATGAGAAGGAGATGCAAAAAGTTAAAACCCAGTCAGTTATATTGGGAAATGTACTGAATGGGGTGAGCCAGGGGAAAGGGGTGGCCCAAAACGCAAGTAGGGGAACATTTCAAGAAATGCCCCTTCCTCTTGTGGAATGCATATGTGGGATGACACCTGTCTCTGGCAAGGTTCACAGGATAACCAGGAAAAGTGGGCCAAAAGGGCTTCCTTTTCCTCTGAGGCAAGTTGGTTGCAAGTAACATCATTTCCAAGATGACCCTTGGAGCAAGCAGGTGGCCAAAACAACTCTGAAGACTTTTGAGTGACCCTGAATTCCCATGTCAGGCATCTGCAATGAAGAACCAACACACAGGAAGATAATAAAAACCTCTTGTTTCTCTGCCGCATGTGAATCCAGCCAATGTTTCCTGACTTCTCCCACATCCACCTCTTTACAACCCAAATGGAATAGAACTCAAACTCTTCGTGGTATAAGACACATGTTAGAGAAACTGGATTAGCTTTCTTTCCTTTCAGATGCAGATCATTGTATAAAGTGTCCACCTTATCAGCATCCAAACTCAGAGCAGGATCGTTGTGTCTCCAAGACTGTGAGCTTCCTCTCTTACACGGACCCTTTGGGGATCACCCTGGCTTCCATTGCCTTATTCTTATCCTTCAGCACAGGCTGTGTGCTAGGAGTCTTCATCAAACATTTGGATTCTCCCATAGTTAAAGCTAACAACCGGGAGCTCTCCTACATTCTCCTTGTCTCCCTCCTGCTTTCCTTCGTGTCCTCCTACCTCTTCATAGGCCAGCCAAGGAAAGGGACTTGCCTTCTCCGACAAACGGCCTTCAGCATCATCTTCTCAACTGCTGTGTCTTCTGTGCTGGCCAAAACCATCACTGTGGTGCTGGCCTTCCTGGCCACCAAGCCAGGTAACAAAGTGAGAAAGTGGCTGGGAAAGAGAATGGCCAACTCCATTGTCATTTCCTGTTCCATTGTGCAACTGATCATCTGTGTCATCTGGCTGGGCATGGCTCCACCTTTTCCTGACACTGACATGCACTCCCTGCCTGGGCACATCATCCTACAATGTAATGAAGGGTCTGTGGCCATGTTCTGCACTGCCCTGGGATACATGGGCTTCCTGGCTGCCAACTGCTTCATGGTGGCCTTCTTGGCCAGGAAGCTGCCAGCAGCTTTCAATGAAGCCAAGCTGATCACCTTCAGCATGCTTGTCTTCTGCAGTGTTTGGTTGTCCTTCGTGCCCTCCTACCTGAGCACCAAGGGGAAGCATATGGTAGCTGTGCAGGTCTTCTCCATCTTGGCCTCCAGTGCTGGGCTGCTGAGCTGCATCTTTCTTCCCAAGTGCTACATCATTGTCGTGAGGCCTGATCTGAATGCAAAGGAGCATCTCATGATGAAAGCACATGGTGGCATCTGATGCTAAGCAGGAGGATCCACATTCTTATATTCAGCCTACATTCATACTAAATCCAATCTTTGAAGGGGAAGGAAAAATCAGTACTTAATTCTACACTAAAAAGTGCTTTTGTGTAGGAAACTGAGAAGTATGTTTTCAGTTTGGGCATGGAGGGGATAGTGAGAAACTCACAATGAACACTGAGAAGTAGGTCCATCCCTAGTTTGGCACCCATCATATTACTTAATGCTTATCATGCTTTTTTTCCTAGTTTGAATTTCCTTTTTTGATCTTGAGACCAATTGATAATAAAGGAGCAGGGGAGAAGTCTATATTTTTAATTTCATCTTTTAAATCTCATTACAACTAAAGTCATCCTGGACAAGAGTGCATCTCAGTAGAAATGGAAGTCTAATATCAGCTTTGGTGAAGGGTAGTCCCAGGTTTAGAGAGCATGTAGAGTGCAGATGTACAAGTATCCCAAGTCTGACAGTCCAGATGACCTCTTAATTTCAGCACACATGCATACATAGGTAGAGTGCAACCCTTCTTAATCAAAGCAGGAGACAGACCTTCAGAAATCACAACCCTTCATATGTACATTGTCTCCTCCAAAAGCCCCTTTATTAGTGCACTCTCCATGAATAAAGCAACTTTGCTCATACTAAGGAGCATCAACTGTTATCTGCAGGTCCTGGAATGGACAACAGACACAGAGCTCAATCAGATCCTCTTTGGTGAGAGTTTTAACCACTAGAAATGGCACTTGGGGTGTGGATTCCCTGCTTTTTTAGGAAGCTGTGCTTCATCAAACTTTCTTTGCTATTTAAATTGTTGAAATACTCTTTTCTATTTGATCCTCATGATAGTATTTGTTGCTCTTTGATGAATTGTACACCACACAAAGGTTGAAAAATATTAGACAGAAGATGGCTTCCGTCAGAAACTGGAAGTCTTGCCCAAATATGAACTGAAATCGGAGCATAAGCTTGCACAAGAGAGATGTGATCAGATAATATGAAATGGAAAACAAAAAAATGGGGAGAGCTAAACCCTTTCCCAAACCTGGTGATTGAAAACTCAAGTCCAACTATAAAGACTTCCTGAAAGAGATCTGAAGAAGAAAGTAGCACATACAGCAGTTGGACTGCTGGATGATCCTGGCGGAAAGGAGTACCCAAGGAGGATAAGGAAATTGCAGAGAATCTTCAGGGATTCTGCCTATTCATCTTCAAAGCAGAGGATTCAGGACACATTTCTGTTTCTGAGCTTCTCTTTCCAGGAAGGGAGACTGTCCAAATTTAAAGGTGGCTCCACAAATGGGAAGTGAAGAGATGACTGGGCCCACAGGAGAGCCATCCTACACTTCTTCAAAAACCCAAATCAGAAATTTCAGGCATTCTTGCACAATAATGAAACACGACTTTGGACACTCTCAGTTTGCAAAATTCCACCATGAGTAGGGGGCAGGGGGGTCATATGCTCTCTCCCTGATGCCACTCTTGCAGGCAAGGATGACTTTCTTCTAGGCCCTCTTGGCTTGTAAGCAGCTCTACTGAATATGGTGTAGCTTTCATTTGCTGTTCTGGAAGTGTTGGGCTTTCCTTTCATTTCAGTATCGTTTCTGTTAATCCATTCTAATGGGACCTGTAAAGCAGATTGAGTGCCATTCTTTGGTAGAAAGGCAAGGTCTGAATGGCAGGTAACCCTAAACAGGGGCTTGGACATAGTAGGCATCCAGCTGCTGTGTGGATGGAAAATGCTGGTGGAGTTGCCTTAACAGAAGTTATACCTTGTATATGCTAAAATATGGAGAACCTCACCTGTCCTCTCTCCAACTCCCCATCTGTAGCCTCATGCTATGCAAATGGTCCACCCTTTTCTGATTGCTCAGTTGAAACAGCACTGAAACAAGATTTCAAGCCCATCAGGGCAGCTGTGCTTCCTTTACAATTTAAAAATATGTAGCCAGCTCTGGCTTTGTCTTAAGAAATTTTGTATCTCTGATTGTAAAACCCAAACATCAAAGCCTACTAGCATTTTGAAACTCTTAATTGTTTTATTTGTTACCTGTTAAACCTTTGACAGGTCACAGTGTTTTCCTGGGGTCTATCAAGTTTCCTCCATAATTCTGAATTATGTTTTTGCAGTTCCCCATTGTCCTCTCCTTCTCACCCATTCAGAATTTCACCATTTCCCTGTACTGTGTATGTGACACAAAACTGATATAAACTCTGACTTTACTCTGGAAAGCTCATGGTTAGTTTGGTATACTGGCTACTCAACAGAGCTTAGTTTTCCTTTTTGTCACAGAGGGATTCTTGGGGTTTCCTGCCAATAAACTGCTGTATCTGAATGGATCTTTCATGTGAATCCAAACATACATTATCCCGGTCCTGTGATTCCAATAATTCTTGAGAATCCTGATACTGCCCATGATATACATAGTCCCATGGGCTGTGCTAGGAGTGGGTCACCAAGGCCTCAGAGTTGCTGAACTTTCCATCACCTGCCAGAAGCAACCTGCTCTTTCCATGGGAACTAGCCTTGGGTGTAGCTACCCAACAATTATTCCACCTTAACCAGTCTGGTGGTGCAACTATTCGAAGAGAATACATGTGTACTAGCAATCCATTTTGAGGACTTGATTGGAAAACTTACCAATCCAGTCACAGGGCTAACAAAGGCTCCTAAATACTGAACTTGGGGCAGCCAATGGATGTGATCTCCAATATGCTGAGCTATTCCTTTAGCCCACTTTCAGCACCAACAAAAGGCTGTCCTTCTGAAAACCAAACTGCTGATTATAAAAACATTTTATTTATTTATTTATTTATTTATTTATTTATTTGGGATAGTTTTATCCCATCCAATGCCAAATGTCTCTGGACACCTTACAATGTAATAATTAAACTATCAATACAATAATCAATAACAAGATAATATATTAAAATATTAAATATTTAAACTTTATAAGTTAAAATATTTAAACTTTAAACTTTTGGGTAAATAAAAAGGTTTTAACCTGGCACCGGAAAGCATATAAAGTTGGTGCCAGGTGAAACTCTCCGGGGAGCGCATTCCACAGTCAGGGTTCCACAGCAGAGAATGCCCTTCTCCAGATGTTCTTTAAAAAAATCCCTGGGGTGGGAGAGCAGCTTCTGGAAGGAATCAAATGAGGGAGGGGTCCTTTGCTCCTGCAGGAATCCACAGTGCTTCACCAAATGCTATTGGGAGAACTCAGAAAGTATGGGGAGAATGAAGATCCCCCCTCAGACACTGAACGCCCTCAAGACAGCAGGACCTTTGAAGGAGGTTTGTCAGTGAGGGTCAACCAGCCCTCACTTTTCCCCTTCAGTGAACCCATCTCAGGCACTACACTGACATTAATGATTTTCTGCAAATTTGTTTTCCTTGCACTCTCCATCTGAGGTCCACAAAACTCTGAGAGTTCACCAAGGTACTGAGGTTATGCTCATACACCTTGTAATTACTTACATTATGGTGATTTCTCCTCCATTCTTGCCACTGCTCATGAGGTTGCCTCAGGGACACATAAACCAAGCATTGCAATCAAGTAACTTGTGCCTGAAAAGTTTGCTGCATAAAATCTCTCCTCTGCTGACATGAGTCACGAGTGAGACAGGCAGCAGAATGACACTTCTGTGAAATTTAAACAAGCCCCACTTTTGACCTTGACCTCCTCGTATGCTTCAAGACAGGGCAGCCTGTGTCTTGAAAGAATTCCCTGCCTTCCGCTCATTAGTGGGTGAGGGGAGTGGACATGAGGCAGGGCTAGAAAGGATCAGGGCCCCAATGATAACTGGGCTTTTCCTTTCACTGCTCTTTCTGCCCTGTGCAGCCCTGAAGGGGCAGGAGGCAAAATGCCCCCTGAATCTGATCCAAGATCAAAGTGCTGCAGGGAACTACTACAGGCCTGGAGACCTGCTCATCAGGGGAATCATCACTACAAAAACTGTTAGGCGTGACCTCCCATACAGCTTCTTGTCAGACACATTGCCTGGAAAGAGTTCTAGTTTTATTGAGGAAAGAATGTTGTGCTTCTTTCAGTGAATGGAAGAGAGAACTGAAAGCAATTTTTCTTCTTCCAGTGCACCAATAAAGGTCTTTGTCAAGTACTGGCACATTTTGTCTTTCCTCCTTGCTGTTCAGGGGTTCAACCAGAGTCCTGACCTCTTGCCCAACCTCACCCTGGGCTACAACATCTATAAGACCCACTTCCATGGGAGGATCACATGCGACACCATGGTGGACCTGAATGCTGGAAGGGAAAGCAACATTCCCAACTACAGCTGTGGAGGGTGGAAAAACCCACTGGCCATCGTGGAAGGGGCTGAATCTGACATCTCGATGCACACTGCAGCCATGTCAGGCATCTACAAACTTCCACAGGTAGGAATTGGGAAGGGGGAGGGAACTGAGCTGTCTGCAGTTTCATCTAGGAGAAAAATAAAAGAGCAACACAAGACAAGTCGCTCTGAAATGCAGCAAGATGCATGAAGCCAAAAGGCTGGCAAGCTCCCTTTCATTCCCACATCATGGTAGGGGTGTTTTTTTACGTTCCTGTTGCAGTCAGCAATGTTTGGGTTTGGTTTTGGGTTTCAGTTGGGATTGGAATGGGCTTCCAGGGGAGGTGGTGGTGGTGGGGGAAATCAGTGAGGGTATTCCAGGAAATATTGACCAACCACATGTTGGGTATTACATTAGGAGAGCTGGTCAGATCCAGGGTCACACTTTAGACGAGCTCTGTTTCTATGTAAAGCCCAGAACCATGGGGAAAACAGATTTTGTGTTAGATTGTAATAATTTTCATGTGTGTATGCACAGTGGTACCTCAGCTAATGAACAACTTGATTCACAACCAAATCAGGTTGGGAACAAAAAGTTCATGAAAATTTTGACGTGGGTCATGAACTCCACATAGGGTGTCAACCAAGACCTCAGCCATTTCCCCAGCCCACCCCAGAGTGGGGACATGGCCACAATAGCAGTTGCGTTCTTTCAGGGAAGACATGCATGATCAGGGGCATGCTCGTGCAGGAAAGATGGGTGCAATCTCGGAGATCTCCCTACCGCCCCGCAACCAGCATGACTGTGACCATCTCCCCATCCGCCCGAGTGGGGAGATGAACGCAATCATGCTGGGGGCAGGAGGGGGGAATGGCCAAGTTCGTGCCCATCTCTCCCTCCCCCAGTGCACCTTGTTCACACCCGTCTCTCCCTCCCCCAGCGCGCTGGGATGACAGGTGGGTACATGGATGACAGGCGTGATCTTGGTCGTGCTGTGGGGGGGGGGGGAATGGCCGCGCTCGTGCTCGGGGTGGGAAGGAGTGATGGCCACGATCTTTGTTGTTCTTTTTCACTTTGCATCACAGTTTTCTGATTTAAAAAATGGTTACAGAATGGGTTAATTTCATTTACATTGAACCTTATGGGGAAATTTAACTTGGCTCATGACCAATTTGGGTCATGACCAAAGTCCTGAAATGGATTAAGTTCGTGAGCCAAAGTACTACTGTATATGAATATTATAGTAAAAACAAGCTCCTTCCTTTTTGCATTAGATGAGTTACAGCTTTGTTGCTCCCATTCCTCAAGATAAATCACAATTTCCTTTTATCTACTGGATGGTTCCAAAAGAAGAAATTCAGGTAGTGGGAATGGTCAAACTGCTCCAGTATTTTGAGTGGACATATGTCGGTATCCTTGCTCCCAACAATGAGAATGGAGAAAGCTACCTGAAAACTCTGACACCACAGCTTCCTAATGGGGGTATTTGTGTGGCTTTCCTGAACAGAATAGGAATGCAGAGAGAGTATCTACTGTCATTTCAGAGTGAATGACTTCTAGTGAGGAAACAAGTCAATGTATGCATTTATGTCTGGGACTCAAGCTATGGATTTCTACCATTCACAAAAATCCAGTTAATGCTAGAAAAGGAACAGATTGGGATGAAAGTCTGGATCGCATCTTCTTTTCAGGACATCTTCTGGAATATGCATAGTCATCCTGAGTCTTTCCAGCACTTCCATAACTCTTTCTCCTTTGCAGTTAAGAGCAGGAGAAAGACAGAGTATGACCACTATGGGCCAATGTCACCAGAAATGACACAGTTTTCGCTGATGGCTTTTGATTGCTTCTATTCCAAGCATGGCTTGTCCAGGAAAGGCTGGACATGATGCAAAGGTAAAGAGCACCTGGAGATGCTGTCCCAGGAGGAGATGGATAGGATCCTGTCTCAGGACAGCTACAGTATTTACAGCAGTGTCCAAGTCGTGGCCCATGTCTTACATGCTGATCATGCAACCCAATCCAAGAGGATGCAGATGGTGCATTGAAGAGACAGCCTGAAATGGAAAAGGCTGCAGGCATGGCAGGTATCCCATTTCCTTTTGCCATGTTGGTGCAAATTGAAAGCTAATGGCCAATGGAAGCATGATCCTGGATCCAATCTCTATCCATGTCATTAGGTAAATTTCAAAGCCTATTTCTGCTGCAAATCCAGTTGGAGACTTGCCCCATTTCACAGAATTTTGAGTTCTTCAGAAGGTGGTCTGCATGCGAAGGGCTGTCCAATCCAAATGTACTTGAAATTCACCAAAGGATTTGCAAGTGCCCCTCATCGCCTCCTGCCCACAGACAGCAATGTTCCACTCAGGACACATGCACTCTACTTCTAGCTCAATTTGGATTTGTTGTTGTTAGTCGTGAAGACGCGTCCAACCCATCGCAACCCATGGACAACATTCCTCCAGGGCTTCCTGTCCTCCACCATCCCCCGGAGTCCACTTAAGCTTCCACTAACTGCTTCAGTGACTCCATCTAGCCTTCTCATTCTCTCCCATCCCCTTCTTTTGCCTTCAGTTGTTCCCAGCATTAGGCTCGTCCCAGGTGAGTCCTTCCTTCTCATTAGGTGGCCAAAGTATTTGAGTTTCATCTTCAGTATCTAGCCTTCTAAAGAGCACTCAGGGTTGATCTCTGCTAAGACTGACTAGTTTGACCGCATTGCAGTCCAAGGGACTCGCAGGAGTATTTTCCAGCACCACAATTCAAAGGCCCCAATTCTTTGGCGCTCAGCCTTCCTTATGGTCCAATTTTCACAGCCACACATTGCAAATGGGAAAACCATAGCCTTAACTATACGCACTTTGTTGGCAGGGTGATGTCTCTGCTTTTTAATATACTGTCTAGATTTGGCATAGCTTTCCTCCCAAAGAGCAAGCATCTTTTAATTTCTTGGCTGCAGTCCCCATCTGCAGTGATCTTCAAACCCAGGAAAATAAAATCTGTCACAACCTCCATTTCTTCCCCATCTATTTGCCAGGAAGTGAGAGGACCGGATGCCATGATCTTAGTTTGCTTAACATTGAGTTTCAAGCCAATATTTGCACTCTCCTCTTTCACCTATATAAAGAGGCTCTTTAGTTCCTCTTCACTTTCTGCCATTGGAGTGGTATCATCTGCATATTTGAGGTTGTTGATATTTCTCCCAGAAATCTTAATTCCAACTGGTGATTCATCTAGCCCTGTCTTTCTCATGATGTGCTCTGCATGTAAGTTAAATAGACAGGGTGACAGTATACAGACTTGCTGAACTCGTTTCTCAATTTTGAACCAATCAGTGGTTCCGTGCCCAGTTCTCACTGTTGCTTCTTGACCGCATATAGGGTTCTCAAGAGACAAATAAGATATTCAGGTACTCCCATCTCTTTAAGAACTTGCCACAGTTTGTTGTGATCCACACAATCAAAGGCTTTAGCATAGTCAATGAAAAAGAAGTAGATGTTTTTCTGGAACTCCCTAGCTCTCTCCCTCATCCAGCGTATGTTGGCAATTTGATCTCTAGTTCCTCTCCCTCTTCGAAATCCTGCCTGTACTTCCGGTAGTTCTCGGTCCACATACTGCTAGAGCCTAGCTTGTAGGATTTTCAGCATAACTTTACTAGCATGTGAAATGAGTGTAATGGTGTGGTAGTTTGAGCATTCTTTGGCATTGCCCTTCTTTGGAATTGGCATGTAAACTGACCTTTTCCAATCCTGTGGCCACTGTTGAGTTTTCCAAAATTGCTGGCATATTGAGTGTAGCACTTTTACTGCATCGCCCTTTAAGATAGTGATTAGCTCAGCTGGAATACTGTCACTTCCACTAGATTTGGGGTTGCTCAGACTTCCTAAAGCCAATTTGACCACATTTCAGGATGTCTGGCTCGAGGTCAGTGACCACCCCATCGTGGTTATCAGGGACATTCAGCTCTTGCTTGTATAGTTCCTCTGTGTTATCTTGCCACTTCTTCTTAATCTCTTCTACCTCTGTTAGGTCCCTGCCATTTTCATCCTGTATCATGCCCATCCTTGCATGAAGCATTTCTTTCATATCTCCAATTTTCTTGAAGAGATCTCTGCCGCTCCCTATTCCATTGTTTTTTCTATTTCTTTGCACTGTTCATTTAGGAAGGCATTCTTATCTCTTCTAGCTATTTTCTGGAATTCTGCATTCAATTGGGTTTATCTTTCCTTTTCTCCCTTGCCTTTCACTTCCCTTCTTTCTCAGCTATTTGTAAAGCTTCCTCAGGCAGCCATTTTGCTTTCTTGCATATGGTATGGTATTTAGGCCATACCTGAGTGGCCTAGTGCTTTTCCCTACTTCCTGAATTCAAGCCTAAATGTTGCAACAAGGAGCTTATAGTCACAGTCAGCTCCTGGTCTTGTTTTTTTATTAGGACTGGCACTTGGCAGTCAGCTATGATATCATGAACTAGATCTTCTTCCCAAATAAGTCCTATTGTAGAGTGACCATTGGGAGTCTGGAGGGACAGGCAGCCCAGGACATGAAACTCACCATGGATCCAGAGGCCATTGTGTGGCCCCAGCAGTTTAACCAGGTTGGCTAATGACTGCTTGTAATCTGGTGCCTTTTGCATTCATTAAGTTGAAATCATGGAACATTTCTTATGGCATGCAAACAGTTATTTTACCTGAGAGTAAGTTCCAAGTACTACTAAGGAACTTCTCATCAAAAAGTGTATCCTTTTTCCACCCTCTCCCTCTCCATGCTTCCTTCATAATGGAGAGCCCAGGAAATTTTCTCAGGAAGGCCATGGATTACAGAGTTCCACAGGACTTCCAGTAGCCATCCTGAGACCATTTGGTAGTGTATGGTATACAAAATTTTTAAAGGAATGAATGAATTGCCATGGCAGGGGCCAGGGCACACTTCAAGGCCCACAAGAAAGGGATGCAGAGGCCTCAGCATCTTTTCTGCCCCAGAGTAAGCACAGTTTTCTTGCCTGCAATGTCTAACCAGTAGTTGATGACATGCAGGATCCACTTGAGAAAAGCTCATCTCAGCGGCATCATAAGTGCTTGCTTGACAGAAGGGTCTGCTAGGGGTCACTGAGAAAGGAACTCCCATTCAATCATTCCAGAACTAGGTGATTCATTTCAGCACACACAATGATCCTTATCAGCTCTTCCTAGATGCTCCTTCTCTTTTTTCCAGACAGTGCCTCAATCCAGGTGTGTCAAGAGCTGTCACCCTGGATTCGCCAAGGTGGGTCAGGAAGGGAAGCCACCTTGCTGCTATGCCTGTGCCCTCTGTCTGGAAGGCACCATCTCTGCTCAACAGGGTACGTGTCTTCAGAGGAAGGGACCATTTTTCCTGGTCAAGTCAGTAAAAGAATTGAGTGCACCCAAGCACTCAGTCTTTCTTTGGAGGGTATATTATATATTAACTAGAGGACACCAATAGATATCATGAAGCACACATGACAAATATTTTTTAAATGTTAGTACATATCCAGTTGGACATGATCTTCTACTCAAAGAAGTTTTTAAAGGTTTGTTCTTTCTGCTTACCGTCTTTTCTGACCTTTGTATTTCTAATCTCACTCATTAATTCCATACAGTGTGTGGAATTATATGACTTTGGGGGCAATCTTTGAAATACACAACATGGCGACTGGGCCTCAGTACCCTTCCCCTAGCTTGAATCATGATCATCCCACGACCTTACGTTTTCATAACATGGGTCTGGCCATTCCTAGAAACACTTAAAATCACTTCAGCTCATTGATTCCATTGAAGACAGAATTATTGTTATGCAAAGGAAGGAATGATCATAGGAGGGTAAAGAGGCCTCCTCCTTCAAACAGCCTCCTCTTTTGTATCTCAGCTTATTCCACAGCTTCTTTCACATAAAATCTGCTTGTAACACCTGCCATGGATTAATATAAAACTCATGAAACTAGTAGAATAGATTTCAGCCTCTGCCTCTAATCTGGGTCAGTGTTTTCCAGGAAGGAACATCAACAGGCTGTTCCTATTCTGAGGAAACAGGTCTATGATCCTTCCCTTTAAGGCCAGTTCTGGAAATACTCAAACAGTTGCAAAGACTGGGTTTACACCTCCAGAGCACAGGGGACATCAGAACCTGCAAATCCATTGAACTGTCCCATGACAGCCCATCCAGGCTTATGAAACAGTAACACAGGGAGCAGGCTCACCAGATTCCCACAACTGCGACAAGGAGTTCCCAGCCAGTCACATTCAGGACTCCCCAGATGGCGATTCCAGACTCAGTGTGGGAGATGGGTGGGCAAGCATTAGCAGAGGTTGCTGAACTGGTAAGGGCATCAGATGACATGAGTCGAGAGATTTGGAAAAGAAACTGTCCTGGAGAAGAGAGGGGAAAGATCAAGGGGGTTTTATCAGAACTGTTCCAGAGGTTCCAGGCAAAGAAAAAGGATTAAGAATCAGATTCACCTATTCACATGGGAATATGGTGCTCCCGACATCCAAGGGAGATTATCTTCCACATGGCTCAGTTTTAGGAAACTCAGTTTTAGGAAACTCAGTTTTAGGAAAACTGAGTCATGAGGAAGCACCCAATAAAGGATGAGAAAAAGAAGCCACAGTCCATCACAATCATCAACCCCACCTGGTTTTTCTTCCCTTCCGTTCACTTCTTCACATCCCTAAACTTTCCATCTCAAAGTGTTAAAACACAGACTGTTCTGGATAACATCAGATGCATGTTAGTGAAACTGGATTCACTCTCCCTTCTTTCAGATGAAGATCACTGTATTGTGTGTCCAGCAAATCAGAACCTAACCCAGACCAGGATCACTGTGTCCCCAAGACTGTGAGCTTCCTGTCCTATGAAGAATATCTGGGGATCACCCTGGCTTCCCCTGCCCTGTTCTGCTCGTTCACCACAGGCTGTATCTTAGCAATCTTCGTCAAATACTTGGACACCCCATTTGTCAAAGCCAACAACCGGGACCTCTCCTACATTCTCCTCCTCTCCCTCCTACTTTCCTTTTGCTCCACCTTCCTGTTCATTGGCAAGCAAAGCAAAGTGACTTGCCTCCTCTGACAAACAGCCTTCAGCACCATCTTTTCAGTTGCCACCTTGAGTGTGTTAGCCAAAACAGTCACTGTGGTGCTGGCCTTCCTGGCTACCAAGCCAGGGAACAAGGTGAGAAAGTGGCTGGGGAACAGCTTGGCCAACTCCATTGTCATTTCCTGTTCCAGTGTGCAACTGGTCATCTATGTCATCTGGCTGGCCATGGCTCCACCTTTTCCTGACTCTGACATGTTCTCCCAGCCTGGACACATCATCCTACAATGCAATGAAGGGTCTTTTGCCATGTTCAACTCTGCCCTTGGCTACATGGGCTTCCTGGCTGCCTACTGCTTCACGGTGACCTTCCTTGCCAGGAAGCTCCCTGGAGCCTTCAATGAGGCCAAACTGATCACCTTCAGCATGCTGGTCTTTTGCAGTGTCTGGGTGTCCTTCGTGCCCACCTACCTGAGCACCAGGGGGAAGTACATGGTGGCCGTGCAGGTCTTCTCCATCTTGGCCTCCAGTGCTGGGCTGCTGGGCAGCATCTTCATCCCCAAGTGCTACATCATTGTCCTGAGGCCTGACCTGAATACAAAGGAGTACCTCATGATGAAAGCAAATGGTGGCATCTTATGCTAAGCAGGAGGAATCCACCTTCATATATTCAGCCTACACTCAAACTAAACTCAAGCTTAGAAGGGGAAGAACAGATCGATGTCTAGTTCTATACGAAAAAGAGCTGTTGTGTAGGAAACTGAAGACTATGCTTCAGCTTGGGCTCAGAGAAGGCAAGGGCTTTGAGGGGATTGTGAGAAATTCACAATGAACACTGAGAGGTACATCCATCCCTAGTGTGGCAGTCCAGGATCTCACTTAACTACATCACCCATGGAGTAAAAGGAACTCAGACCTTCCAAATCACATCCCTTCACAAGTTACCTCTCTTTGCTTTCCCTTCCATCATTACTACCATTGTGTATTGTGTTGTCCTCTGCTAGAAACACCTGCCATGGATGGGTAGGGAACTCATGATAGGACAAGTGGAAAGGTTTTCAGCCTCTATCCCTATTCTTGGTAAGTGTTCTCCAGGAAGGAAATCCATGAGAAAGCTAAACTATGGTCCCTCCATTTAACCCCAGTTCCACCCATATTCAAATGGTCAGGAAGACTGGATTTATTTCTCCAAAGCTCAGGGGACACCAGATCTGACTAACCCACTGAACCTTCCTTAGCCTACAGTGGGATATGTTAACAAATTCATAATCCATTACCTGGGGATCTGAGTGAGAACACTGGACAAGCAAATTGTAACCAAGGAAGCCAAAGGTCTACCAATGAGATTGAGAGCCAAGCTGGACTTTCCTGTCCCCTTTCCCATGCCAGCCTATCCTGTCTCCATTAAGCAGTGCCACAAGGAGCTGGCTTACTTGATTCCCACAGCAGTGGCAACTAGTTGCTGGCCAATGAAGTTCAAGACTCTCCAGATAGGGAGTCCAGGCTCCACGTGGGAGACATGTTCACAAAAATTGAAGAGGCCCTAAATTTTCCAACAAAATGTGTTACAATACAGACAGATCTGGATAACATCATATGGTTCTTAGTGAAACGGTGTTGACTCTCCTTCCTTTCAGATGCAGATCACTGTATTGCATGTCCAGCAGATCACCAACCAAACTCAGACTAGGATGTTTGTGTGCCCAAGACGTTGAGTTCCCTCTGTTATACAGGCATTTTAAGGATTACCCTGCTTTCCCTTGCCTTATTCTTCTTCAGCACAGGTTGCGTCTTAGGAATCTTCCTCAAATATTTGGACACTCCAATAGTCAAAGCAAATAACCGAGACCTTTCCTACATTCTCCTCATCTCCCTCCTGCTTTCCTTTCTGTCCACCTTCATGTTCAGTGGCCAGCCAAGGAAAGTTACTTGCCTCCTCCAAAAAATGGCCTTCAGCATCATTTTCTCAGTTGCTGTCTCTACTATGCTGGCCAAAACAGTCACTTTCTTCCCAAGGACTACTTCATTGCCCTGAGGCCTGAGCTGAATACAAAGGAACACCTCATGATGAAAGCACATGATGGCAGCTGATGCGAAGTTGGAGGGATCCACTGTAGCCATTAAGATGGGAGCTAAATTTCATGGGAAAACCAGCCAGAACCTGTATTCTTTGCATCCCCCTGAAGAAGGGAGTCCATATCCAAACTAAACCCCAGCATAGAAAGAGAATGGACAATCCGTACTTTGTTCCTTGCTGAGAAAAATCACTCTGCATGTCTAACTGTTGGAAGATTGTGTTTCAGTGGAAATTAAAACCTAATTGAGCTAACTGGCTCCAGGTAGACCAAGATTCTATAGGCATGTGCAGCTCTGATGTACAACCATCCTAAATCCTACAGTCCAGGATATCGTGTAAGTCCAGCACACACACATACACATTGACAGGGGCTCAGTACTTAACTTCTAAATTTTAGTGACATTTTATATTGTCATTACTGTTATTTCTGTTTGAGCTTTACTTCTGAATTTGATCGTATTTTATGAATCACTGTTCACCACTGAATTAGATTAAATAAAATATTAGATACAAGATGGCTTCCTCTGGCAAATGAAATTCTTGCCCATATACTGAGCAGAAACCTGAGCAGCAGCTTGCATAAGGGAGATGTAAGCAGATTATATTGTTGTTGTTAGTCGTGAAGTCATGTCCAACCCACCGCGACCTCATGGACACATTCCTCCAGGCGTTCCTTTGGTCCACCATCCCCTGGAGTCCACTTAGGCTCACACCGACTTCTTCAGTGACTCCATCTAGCCACCTGATTGTCTGCTGTCCCCTTCTTTTGCCATGTATTGTTCCCAGCATTAGGCTCTTCTCCAGGGAGTCCTTCCTTCTCACTAGGTGGCCAAAGTATTTGAGTTTCATCTTCAGGATCTGGCTTTCTAAAGAGCACTCAGGGTTGATCTCCGCTAAGACTGACTGGTTTGATCGCATTGCAGTCCAAGGGATTCGCAGGAGTATTCTCCAGCACCACAATTCAAAGGCCCCAATTCTTTGGCGCTCAGCCTTCCTTATGGTCCAACTTTCACAGCCACACATTGCAAATGGGAAAACCATAGCCTTAACTATACACACTTTGTTGGCAGGGTGATGTCTCTGCTTTTTAATATACTGTCTAGATTTGTCATAGCTTTCCTCCCAAAGAGCATGCATCTTTTAATTTCTTGGCTGCAGTCCCATCTGCAGTGATCTTTGAACCCAGGAAAATAAAATCTGTCACAACCTCCATTTCTTTCCCATCTATTTGCCAGGAAGTGAGAGGACCGGATGCCATGATCTTAGTTTGCTTAACATTGAGTTTCAAGCCAATATTTGCACTCTCCTCTTTCACCTATATAAAGAGGCTCTTTAGTTCCTCTTCATTTTCTGCCATTAGAGTGGTATCATCTGCATATTTGAGGTTGTTAATATTTCTCCCAGCAATCTTAATTCCAATCGGTGATTCATCTAGCCCTGCCTTTCTCATGATGTGCTCTGCATATAAGTTAAATAGGCAGGGTGACATTATACAGCCTTGCCAAACTCCTTTCTCAATTTTGAACCAATCAGTGGTTCCACGTCCAGTTCTCACTGTTGCTTCCTGACCCACATATAGGTTTCTCAAGAGACAAATAAGATGGTCTGGTACTCCCATCTCTTTATGAACTTACCACAAGTGATCCACACAATCAAAGGCTTTAGCATAGTCAATGAAACTGATGTTTTTCTGAAACTCCTTCGCTTTTTTCATGATCCAGCATATGTTGGCAATTTGATCTCTAGTTCCTCTGCCTCTTCAAAATCCTGCCTGTACTTCTGGAAGTTCTCAGTCCACAAACTGCTAGAGCCTAGCTTGTAGGATTTTGAGCATCACTTTGCTAGCATGTGCAATGAGTGCAATGGTGAGGTAGCTTGGAAGGATGCCCTTCATTGGAATTGGAATGTAAACTGACCTTTACAAATCCTGCGGCCACTGTCGAGTTTTCCAAAGTTGCTGCCATATTGAGTATAGCACTTTTACTGCATCGTCTTTTAATATTTTGACTAGGTCAGCTGGAATTGTGTCTTCTCCACTAGCTTTGTTGTTGCTCAGACTTCCTGAGGCCCATTTGACTTCACCTTCCAGGATGTCTGGCTCGAGGTCAGTGACAACTCATCATGGTTTTCAGGGTCATTAAGCTCTTTCTTGTATAATTCTTCTGTGTAATCTTGCCACCTCTTCTTAATCTCTTCTGCCCCTGTTAGGTCCCTGAAATGTTGGTCTTTTATCATGCCCATCTTTGCATGAAACATGCCCTTCATATCTCCAATTTTCTTGAAGAGATCTCTGGTCCTCCCTATTCTATTGTTTTCTTCTATTTTTTGCACTGTTCATTTAAGAAGGCATTCCCATTTCTTCTGGCTATTCTCTGGAATTCTGCATTCAATTGGGTGTATCTTTCTCTTTCGTTTCCCTTCTTTCCTCGGTTATTTGTAAAGCTTCCTCAGACAGCCACTTTGCTTTCTTGCATCTCTGTTTCTTTGGGATGGTTTTAGTTGCTACCTCTTGTACAATGTTGTGAACCTCCGTCCACAGTTTTCAGGCACTCTGTCTATCAGATCTAATTCCTTAAATCTATTTGTCACCTCTACTGTATATTCATCAGGGATATGATTTAGGCCATACCTGAGTGGCCTAATGTTTTTCCCTACTTTCTTTCATTTAAGCCTAAATTTTGCAACAAGAAGCTCATGATCTGAGCCACAGTCAGCTCCTGGTCTACTTTTTACTGACTGGATATAGCTTCTCCATCTTTGGCTGCAGAGCACATAGTCAATCTGATTTCTGTGTTGACTCTCTAGTAATGTCCATGTGTAGAGTCATCTCTTGGATTGTAGGAAAAGAGTTTGCTATGACCATCATATTCTCTTGAGAAAATTCTACCAGGCTGTGCCCTGCTTCATTTTGTACTCAAAGTCCAAACTTGCCTTTATTCTGGTTATCTTTTGGCTTTCTACTTTCGAATTCCAATGCCCCATGATGAAAAGGACATCATTTTTTGGTGTTCATTCTAGAAGGTGTTGCAGTCCTTCATAGAAACAGTCAACCTCAACCTCTTAAGCACCAGTGGTTGGGGCATAGACTTGCACTACTGTGATGTTGAATGGTTTGCCTTGGATTCGAACTGAGATCATTCTGTCATTTTGGAGATTGTATCCCAGTACTGCTTTTCCTACTCTTTTATTGACTATGAAGGCTACTCCATTTCTTCTGAGGGATTCTTGCCCGCAGTAGTATACCTGATGTTCATCTGAATTAAATTCACCCATTCCTGTCCATTTCAGTTCACTGATTCCTAAGATGTCAATGTTCAGTCTTGTCATCTCTTCTTTGACCACATCCAGCTTCCCTTGATTCATGGATCTTACTTTCCAGGTTCCTATGGAGTATAGATCTTTACAGCATCAGATGCTCCTTTCACCACCAGATGCATGCGCAACTGAGTGTCCTTTCGGCTTTGACCCAGTCGCTTCATTCTTTCTTGTAGTACTTTCTGGCCTGAGGGGCTCATCTTCCAGTGTCATATCTTTTTGCCTTTTGGTCCTTTCCATGGGGTTTTCATGGCAAAGATACTGGAGTGGGTTGCCATTTCCTTCTCCAGTGGATCACATTTTGTCAGAGCTCTCTGCTATGACCTGTCCGTCTTGGGTGGCCCTGCACGGCATAGCTCATAGCTTCATATCCTTGTCCTTTGTCTATTACTCAATCTGAGGAGTTGATGATTATCTCTTCCCAAATCTGTCATCAACATTCCAGCATCTTGTTCAGATTTCCTTCTTGCATTAATTCTTCTATTCTCTTCTTTGTTCCTCCACACTTCCAGCTTTCAGAATTCCTCATCGTTATAAGTAAGTTCATAATTTGAGACTACAGCTTGAAGGAGAAGAGTTAAGGAAGGGGAATCAAGAAAGAAGGAAAGAAAAAAAAGACAAAAGAGGAAAGACAAAAGAGGAATGTGGAGAAACCAAGTTAGTCTACCTTATATCTATATTAGAATTGTTGGTACCATTCTATCTCTTTTAAAACATTTGTTTGAACTAGTGTATTTAGCAGAGGCATTGTTCCAACTTTCATAGCAAGGGGCCTTAAGTTCCAATCTTCTCCAGGTCCAATAGGTGGAGCTAAAAGTCTTCTCATTGTGTCTCATATTTGTTCTTTAGGGTTATTTTTTTTTCTTTATGGTCAGCGAGTACAAGTGAAAAACTCCCAAGTCCCATTGGGGAGATATACTTGCTCCGTCAAACAAATCATGCATAATTTAGATCAAAAACAACAACAATTACCCCACTCGAACAACCAGCATCTCCCTAAAAATGGCAGCAAAGGGGGAGAGAACTGTCTTCCAACACCATGAGCTTCAGCCAAGGGCAATTTATAATGTCCAAAATTCCTGAATGCAAATATCAGACAAATTACAACTGCAAAATTAAGTAGAAGAGTACCCCTTTCAAAGTCCTTTCCAAGCAGTGAAACAGAAATTTCTTAAAATCTGAATCACCGCCAATATCTCAGTCTCAAGTCTGAGCTGTTCGAAAAGCACCATTGTCCTCCTTCTCAATTCAAAAGGCACAATTAAGCACAGAAATCCTCCCAGCTAGTACTTTCATACTACAGTCAGTTTACAGTATTGTAATGCTTAGTTCTAGAATAGTGACATGAAGCAGCATTGCAAATAAGATGCCATTTGTCAACCAAAGATTATCCGTTTCAGAGTCCCTTCAGAGTATGCAAACGAAGACGCCTTAAGAGTTCAAGCTGCACATATTGTTGTGCTATTCCCTTGGCAAAGAGAATGTTATGATACAAAGAAATAATAAAACCAAAAGAAAGATAAAAGGAAAAGAAAACAGAAATATTCCATGGAATATGGAATTTCCCTGAGAAGTATAGATGAACTTGGTGTCCTCCACTGAGCAGGGGTTGGACACAGTAGCCTTCTGCAACTTTCCAGTTCTATGATTCTATGATTCTGTGATCATCAGGTTTTTCTAGGCATCCATGCTGAGGGTATTTTTGCCCAGGCTTTCACAGTGAATGGGGCACTGCACTGTTCTTCTCTGTGAGTGTGTGAATCTGGATTCGTAAGGAATGGATGGGAAAAGAGGAGGCACCCTGATGCAGCCTGCAGTCACCCCAAGTTCCGGAACAGAAATAGCGAAGTGGAGGACATTTAGTTAGTTATTGAATTCTTTTGTTCATTCATACATTGAATTTATATACCACCCCAGTAAGCCAGAGTGATCTCTGGGTGCTTTTGAAATGTAAAAACACAAAATGCATGCCCTAAAATATCCAGTTAAGAAACTATGCAGACATGAAATAGATTTCATTCCTAGGGGATGTGGATGCAAACTGAACAGAGTCAGAAAACAGAAGTCATCCTGCATGCTCAACTCTTTTCTCTGCCATTGCAGTTTCATACTTTCCTGAGAGAAGTCCTTTTTGCTAATGCTTCCAAGCTTGGGCATAATGAGGGGCTGGCAGTCCCGTATGATATCTGAAATTGGATCTTCTTCCCAAATAAGTCCTATCAAAGACTGGCAGTAGGATGTAAAGCTTACCATGGATCGCAAGGTCATTGTGTGGTCCAGGCTGTTCCACCAGGTTGGGTTCAGGATTACTTGTATCTGTTCTCCTTCCAGTTCTATTAAGCTTAAACACCTTGCCAAATATTTCCTATGGCATGCAGGGCTCAATATGATGCATGCTTCTCTGAGAACAGTGCCATTGCATATTGT